AAGTGAAGATTTTGTGGAGAGAATTTAAATTTGTAAACTTTTAACGAGAAGAGAAGAATGTAAAGTATAAAATGCTACTGGATTTTTCGAAATAAACACTATTTGATAGAGAACTTTTGGACATTTTAAACATAAAATGTATAAATAGACGACGAGAGAGAGAGAGATGGAGAATGTATTGATTTTTCACTCGACTCAAAGCTATGGCAAAGGCCAAAGAACTAAAGTCATTTAGCAAACTATTCAAGTCCAAAAGCTAAGCACTTAATTGCTCTAAACAACTAATTATTGTTTGCAAAACTCCTAAATTATATATCCACAAGTTTTATGGAACTTGAATTCGTTTTTCAAAAGCAAGATACTTTTATAGACTTTTCTATATGAGTATATCTAACGAAAATAAATGAAATGTTAACATGTTTTTGGATTAAATTCTAAAAAAGATGTTGGCCAAGCTGAAAAAGTTTTATAGAATTTCACTAGAATCATTCCATATGAATTCTAGTGAATATGCTATAGAATTTCCCTAAAACGATTTTTATAAATAGTAAAATTCTTTACAAAAATTCAATTATCTTTAATACAATTTTTAATAAAATAACGTAAAAGAATTCAATTTAAAAAAAATTCTAATAACATTTTTCGAAAAAATTCAATTATTTTTAAAAGTAATAGAATTCTTATTATTAAATTTTTAAAAATCCTCGTCAAACTTTCAATTATTTTTAGAAATAATAAAATTCTTTTCAGAAATTCAATTGTTTTTACTTTTTAAGAATTGTAATAAAATTCCTTTTCAAGAATTCAATTATTTTCAATACATTCTATTCATTTTATTTTTGTTTTAATACAATTTTAAATACATTTCTCGAAAAATACAATTATTATTAAAGAGAGAAAGTAATATTTTCTGTATTGAATTAAGTGAGTACATATTAAAATATAATAATTCATCATTTACAAATTACAACTAGATGCCTAATGTTTTCTAGTGAAATATTTAAAATTGTTGAGAGGTATGGTTGATAGACTTTCAGTAAAATAATATTAGTTGACATATTTAATATCAATAGATATTGCAATAAACAAATATATCATTGATTCAATAGCATTTTTTTTCTCAATGTCAATTCCAAAAGAAAAACAGATCACTTCCAGTCAGGTAGAGAAGAAAATGTAACAATTTGTCATCTGTATTTTCTTCTCCACCAGACTCGGAGTGATCTGTAACGAATGTGAAAAAAAAAATATTATGTTATCCAAAATACAGTGCTTCTGAATTGTTTGCTTGAATATATTGTTTATTCACTGAAAGCTTATTTAATTCACACGCTCATAGTCGTTGAATTCTGCGTTTTACAATGAAAGCACACCTGTAAAATAAACCTATTGAGATAGGAATCTATTGTTTAGACACGTGCATGACTATGTAAATTCGTGGATCCATGTAAGTTTACTTGACAAAGCAGTTATATGCAGTGAACTGAACGTTACATAATACTATAAAGTTTAAAGTGAATTTTCTCAAAACATCCTAAGCTGGATTAGATTTTCCTCTGTTACTCTTATCGTATCCGGAGAACATTCAGGAAGGTAGCTTCTCAAAATCACTGGTTAACTGAAAACTCAGTTTACAACCTACTTCAAACTTCATTTTGATGAGCTGACTTCCTTGGAACGTTACACTATCATTCGACGTTTATAGTTTGCCCCGCTAATTCTTGGGAGTTTAATGAAATTACTTGACAAACTGGAAAAAGGTGTTGGGTTATATTTTTTCCGATAGTGTATTTTTTTCACACTATCTGGAAACAAATTACCCAACCCAGCTGAAAAAGTTCTGTAGATAAATAAAGTATTTACTTCTGTATTTAAACAATTGAATTCTTGTTGAATTTTCTAATGAAAATTTAAATAAATTTTAGTTTAAATTTTAGATAAAAATTGAATCTTAAAAGCATTATAACATGAATTATGAGAAATAATTGATCTTTGAAAAGGTTTCCAATTTAAAATCTTTGAAAAATTAAATTTTTCATACTTTCAACTAACAATTCTGTAGAATTAATTTTTTTTAAAAAGAAAAAAGTGGTCGAAAAAATTAACATTGAATTCTGTAACAATCACATGTTGTTTAAATTTTTTTGAAATTATTTAAAGTTCTTATTTTCTAATATATATTTAATTGAAGAATTTACAAATAATTGAAGTTTGTAAAATAGAATTATTGTAAATTTTGGTCCGTAAAATCCGGATTTTTAATATATATTGTTATTTTTAACTGTCACATGCTGTTAAACTTTTTCAAAAAAATTAATTCTACAGAATTGTTAGTTGAAAGTATGAAAAATTTAATTTTTCAAAGATTTTAAATTAAAAACCTTTTCAAAGATCAATTATTTCTCATAATTCATGTTATAATGCTTTTAAGATTCAATTTTTATCTAAAATTTGAACTAAAATTTATTTCAATTTTCCTTAGAAAATTCAACAAGAATTCAATTGTTTAAATACAGAAGTAAATACTTTATTGAATAATTGAATGTTTCTTAAAATTTCATTCTTATAAAGAATTGTATTATCAAATTTTGAAATAATTGATTTTTCGAAAAAATTTATTTCAATTCTTTTTTAAATAATTGAATTTTCTATGAAATTTTTATTATTTATGTAAATAATTGAATATTATTGAGAAAAATTGTATTATTATTGGAAATAATTGAATTCATTTGATGAATATATATGTTAGTTTAGAAAATAATTGAAATTGCAAAGGATTTAATTGAAATTCCTGAAAATAATTTAATTTCTGGGAGGAATTTTAATATTTATCAAGATAATTGAATTCTTTTGACGAATTTTAATAAGATATTTAAAAATAATTATTTATGAAAACAATTGAATGCCCTGTAAAAAATTTAATTATTTATGAAAGTAATTGAATTATTGCGAAGAAATTTATAAAAATTTTGTATATAATTGAATTCCAATGAAATTTTTATTATTTATGAAAATATGTAATTAAATGTTTGCATAGAATATTATCAAATTGTTTTTTTTAAATAGTTGAATTGTTTTGAAAAATTTAATTAAAATAGTAGAAATTGAATATCATTGAATTCAATTATTTTTTAAAGTTTTAACTAAAAATCATTTTTAAAACAATTTTTATTAAAAAATTCTACTAAAATTGGATTATTTAAATACAGAAATAAATAATTTATTGAACAATTAAATGTTTCTTAAAATTCAATTCTCATAAGGAATGTTATCATCATATTTTTAAATAATTAAATTCTTTCGACGATTTTTAATAAAATTTATAAGAATAATTATATTTTCCGAAAATTTCGATTAAAATTGAATTAAAAATAATTGAAATTCTGCATTGTTTTATTATTTCTGAAAATAATTGAATTCCTAAGAAGAATTTTATTATTTTTGAACATAATTAAATTTCTGCGAAGGATTTTATTACTCTTGAAAACAATTGAATTTCTGCAAGAATTTTTAACTTCTCCAAAATTAAATTTTTTTTAGTACTATTAGTGTTAACTGAAATTTTTTTATAAATCCATTATTTTTAATCATTTTTGAAATAGTTTTTTTTTAATTTTCAAATTCATTTCTTTATAACTGAAATTTATTTTTAAATCAATTTTTATTAGAAAATTTTACTAGAATTCAATTATGTAAATACAAAAATTAGTTTATTGTATGTTTGAATGTTTCTTAAAATTGTATTCTCATAAATAATTTTATCAACAAATTTTTAAATAATTGATATTGTTTGACGAATTTTAATAAAATTTTTAATAATAATTAGATTTATCGAGGAATTTGATAAAAATTTGATTAAAAATAATTGAAAATTCTGCGATGAGTTTTACTATTTATGAAAATAATTAAATTCCTAAAAAGAATTTTATTATTTATAGAATAATAATTGAATCCCTGTATAAACGTTATTAATTCAGAAAAATATAAAAGATAGGAAATTATGTATGACTAAAACTTGTTTTGGAAAAATACGAAAAATAGGATATTAATATTAATTCTCGATATTTCCTGAGACTGACAAATACTTGTCTTTACTACTTAACTTAAAAAAACAGAAAATTATGTCTGACTAAAACTTGTTTTTACTACTTATTTTGGAAAAATGCGAAAAATAGGAAATCATGTCTGACTAAAACGCGTTTTTACTACTTAATGTAGAATATTAAGTCTGACTAAAATATTTTTTACTACTTGATTTAAAAAAATATGAAAAGTAAGAAAATAATGTCTGACTAAAACATGATTTTACTACTTATTTTGGAAAAATGCAAAAAATAGGAAATTATGTCTGACTAACACGCGTTTTTACTACTTATTTTGGAAAAAACAAGACAAATAGGATATGAAGTGTGACTAAAATTTATTTTCACTACTGAATTTAGAAAAATTTGAAAGATATGAAACCATGTCTGATTAAAACTTGTTTTTACTACTTAATTTAGAAAAAAGTACGAAATGAAGTCTGACTAATACTTGTTTTTACTACTTGTTTTGGAAAAATAAGAAATGAAGTCTGACTAAAACATGTTTTACTACTTATTTTAGAAAAATACGAAAAATAGGATATGACTTCTGATTAAAAGTTGTTTTTACTATTTAATGTAGAAATGTACAAAAAAAACAAGATATTATATTTTACTTAAACTTGTTTTTACTACTTAGTTTAGAAAATTGCCAAAAGTGAGATATTAAGTTTGACTAAAACTTGTTTTTACTACTTATTTTCGAAAACAGTATACTAAAAATCGGATTATATAATCCTAACACTTTTTACTTTTTATCAGATCCATTTACCAAATTTAGAAGTTCACTATTTTAAAAAATAATTGCCTATGGTAGATTTCATGATGAAAAAGTAACAATAATTGTAATTAAGGTAACAATAATAATTGATTAAAAATTCCTTTTTCATCACGAGTGACTTTTTTAAATTTTTTCAGATCACAGCAAATGGCTATGGGAAATGGAGAAGTTCGACAATCCTCGCAGGAAGTTTGGCAATGCTGACCCTTGGCAGATTGAGGATCGGCGGCGGTAGAGTTCCTGAATTCGCAAGTGCTGACAATCCAGTAGCTCGACATCCCTCGAGACTAACTCGAGGTCTCACATTTCTCTACCTACCAGCAGCAAGTGTCAGAATGCTGCTTTGTCCCAGTACGCTGAGTTTCGATTGGTCCATGGACGCTGTGCCAAGAATAACCAGCTTCAAAGATTCACGAAACCTCGAGTCTGTTTGCCTTTATGCTGCCCTCGGCACTGCAACACTCTGGGCTGTTCGTCGAGTTCGCCTTTCCCGAGGAAGGGCCAGGTCAAGGTCACGAACAACCTTCGAACTGTCTTCCTATTCAATGTCTACCTCCTCCACCTCCTCCTCCTCATGGCCCACAACACCGAAATGTCCCGTTTGCGCCGGCAGAAGAACTGGTGCCTGTCACACCGATGGTTGTCGCGCGGCCAACAATAACAATGGTCCAGTTAACGATTGCCATTGTCCGAAGAAAAAATCATCGATCGGTTGTACATATTCCTCAACTTCGGCTCTACTTGTTATTCTCGGTTTTCTAGTGCTTCCCTTCCTCCCGGCTAGTAATCTCTTCTTTTACGTGGGATTCGTTATAGCCGAGAGAATTCTCTATCTTCCGAGTATCGGGGCCTGTTTGACTGTTGGGGCGGCAATTTCTGTGACTTATGAAATGGCGAAAAAAGCTGGATGTAAAAAGGTGGCCAAAGGAATTTTAGTGTTGACAATGATAATTTTAGGCCTAATGTCAGCGAGGACTGTTCTTCGAAATGCTGATTGGTACGATGAGGAGAGTCTCTACAGATCTGCGTTGCGTGTCAATCCGCCGAAAGGTAAGAAAATTTTAACTCTTAATTTTAATTCTCTTTCTTTCCTTTTATTCAACTCTTAACAGCATGACTGTTAGAAATTAAATGCTAATTTTTTCGACCAAAATCTTTAAATATTTAATAAATTGAGTTGAAATTTTCTACAAAAGTCTAAAATACAATAAAGAAGGTTGTTGCAAAAATTTTAATTCCTAATTCAAAAATAAATTATAATAAAACACTTTGAAATCGGTAAAGAAGAGAAATTAATTAAAACTGACCATGATAATACTGATAATTTTGAAGTAATTTGTAATAATTAATTTAAAAAATATTAAAACTTTTGCACATATCACTGCCCTTCTTTATTGTATTTAAGACTTTTGTACAAAATTTCAGCTCAATTTACTATAAATATTTAAAGAAAAAAGTGTTCGAAAAAATTACCATTGAGAACATAATAATCACATGCAGTAGAGGAAACAAATTAGGAAACAGATTAGGAAACAAAAAGACAAGACAAAAATTAAAATAAGAATTTTGAAAAGAACTTTTTTTTTAAAAAATAATTATATTCATTTTGTTGAGTAAAAAAATACGATATTTTGTAGTTTGCATAAAATTAACGTTCAAGTCGACATCGAAAATTATACATTTTTATTACCGCAAGTAAGAGGTAAATATTCTGCAGCAGTACATTATCACAATTGCGAGCTTGAAAAGCTTAAGCTAATGATAAACGCTAGTTGCGACCGGACTCCGCCGAAATGAATATTTATTGCGATCGGCTAAACTGCAATAAGCCATCTATAAGGGATCTATTTTCCTTCTTTGTCTCTCAATTTAAACCCCTTAATAGTCTTCACAAGGCATTTAAAAATTTGCTACTTTTGCCAAAGTTAAAGCAAAAAAAAAAAAACTTAATAAAAACCACGCTAACTTCAGTCTTTTGTAATCAATAATTAATTTTAAAAAAGTTGCTTTAAGACGTAAAAAAAGTAGCTATCGAAGAGTTAAATTTCACGACTCAATTTTTTCCAAATTTTTAAATTATATTCAAAAATAGAATAATTTTTTTAAAATAAATATTCAAATACATTATTTATTTTTCTACAGTAATTGAAATATTTTAAATGTAAATGAAATATTTTGAATGTAAAAAGATTTTCAAAATGTTACCATTTCTAAAAATTACAACTGTAATTCTTCCCAAATTCAAACAATTTTTTTGTTAAAATATTTTAATAAAATTATTCAAAACTTACATAATTTTATTTAAAAATAAAAATTTAAATATTATTAGGTACAGTTTTACAATGCTTAAAAATTTCAAAAATTTCAATTAAAAAAATCTCTTGAAATTTAAATATTCCTAAAAATTTACACTAGAAAACTTCTAATATTAAATTATTATCTAAAATTTTAACTAAGATTCATTTTTAAATCAATTTTTATTAGAAAATTTTACAAGAATTCAATTATTTAAATGTAAAAATAAATAAATTATTGAATAATTGAATGTTTCTTAAAACTGAATTCTTATAAAGAGCTTTATCAACATTTTTTAAAATAATTGAATTGTTACGAAGAATATCATAAAAATTTTCAAAATAATTAAATTTATTCATAAAACTTAATTAAAAAGGAATTAAACATAATTATTAAATTCTAATAAAATAAATTATAATCAAAATTTTTTTTAAATAATTCAATTCTTTCAAAGAATTTTAATAAAATTTTTAAGAATAATTGCATTTTTCGAGAAATGTATTTAAAATTGTATTAAAAATAATTGAAATTCTGCGATGAGTTTTATTATTTATGAAAATAATTGAATATTCTTGACGAGATTTTCGTTAAAATTTTTGAAAATAATTGAATTTTTGCGATAAATTTTATTATTTATGAAAATAATTGAATTCTTACAAGGAATTTTAATAAAATTTTTTTAAAAAATTGAATTTCTAGGAAGAATTTTATTATTTCTAAAAATAATTGAATTCTTGCGAAGAATTTGATAAAAATATTTTTAAATAATTGATTCTTTTCGAAAAATACGATGAAATTTATATTTTAAATAGTGGAATTTCTTTGAAAATTTTATTATTTATGAAAATAATTGAATGTTTAGAAAGAATTTTATAAAAATAAATTTTTAGTAATTGAATTTTTTGAGAAATTTTTTATTAAAATAGTAATTATTGAAAATAATTGAATTTTGAAAATTTTTTGAGAATAATTAATAATTCAATAATTAACAATTTTATTATTTATGAAACTAATTAAATTGTTGCAAAGAATTATATTGCAAATTATATTGCAAGTTTTGAAAATAATTCAATTTTTTCAAGAAATTAATTAAAAATGTATTAAAAATATTTATTTAATTCTAATTATAAAATTTTTATTTTAAATAATTGAATTGTTGAGAAAGTGTAATTATTTATGGAAATAATTGAATTGTTTCAAGAAATTTAATTAAAAATGCGTTGAAAAATATCTGTTAAATTCTAATATACAAATTATATGAAATTTTTTTTTAATAATTTAATTTTTTTGAAGAATTTTAATAAAATTTTTAAGCTTATTTAATATTTTTTTAAAGTTATTAAAATTATTTTAAAGAATTTAAATAAAAATTTCTAAAAATAATGGAATTCTTGAGAAGAATTTTATTATTTTTAAGAATAATTCTTAATCTTCTTAAATAATTAATTTCTTCGAAAAAGAATTTAAAAATTAATTAATTAATTAATTAATTAATTATTAATTTAAATTCGTCTTTTAAATAATTGAATTCCTGTAAAAATCTTATTATTTATGAAAATAATTGAATGTTTGCAAAAAATTTAAAAATAATTTTTTTTCTAAATTGAAATTCTTTGGGAAATTTTTTTTATTAAAATGGTAGATATTGAAAATAATGGAATTTCAAAAATGTTTTTCGAAAATAATTGAATCGTTTGAAAGATTTTTATTTAAATTTGTTAAATTGTTTTTAAAAATTTTATAAAAATTTTGAAGAACAATTTTTTTATTATTTTAAAAATTTAAACGTTCATTTCATCTTTTTACAAAAAAAGGACAAAAACTATAAAAAAGGTTATTTTTGAGTTATGACAAAATTCAAAGCCAAAAAACTTCATGAATAAAAAAGAAGGTAAAATAAAATGAAGGGAGAGAATGTATTAAAGTTTCTCGATTGTTACCACCGAAGTTTTGAATTTTATACCGATCAGAAAACAGACTTCGTTTTTCGAAAATTCAAAAATAAATAAATTTTTGAAACTAAATAAAAGTAAATTAATGATTATTGTTTGACGTAGCACTATGGGTATAAAACTTTAAAGGACTTAATGTATTAAAATACATTAAGTATCTTAAGTGCAAGTTTAGTTTCTACATTTTCAGTTTAATGTTGATGACGATACTATTTATTTAATAGCATTTCTTTCTCGACTTTTAATCCTATTTATTGTTCTTCTTCAATTGCGCTTTTATGTCGTTTTACTTTTGCTTCCGGTTGTCCACAAACAACTTGACCCTTATCTTATTTCACCATCATCGTCTCTTGTTTTCCTTTTTATTTTACCCTCATCGCATTCTTTCTTCTGGTTTTATTAGGATTTCCTAAACATACTTGCCTTCTTCCTTATTATTCTTTTTTTTTCATTTTTGATTTTATTCCATCTTATCATTTGAAAGTTTTTCTTGTCTCAATTCTTTATCTCTAAGAATGTTTTTTGACTTTATTTTTCTTTCGATTAATGTGATTACATTTTTTTTTCTTTTTACATTCACATCAAAAATGAGAAAGTGGATTTTTTAATATTAATTTCTTTTAAGAATTTATTTTTAAAAATAAGTTTTTAGCGATGGTTATTAAATTTATTAAATGGAGTGTTAAAAATTCGAGTTATTTTAATTTTGTATACAAGAAATTTCTGTCGAGAATGGTTCTGCATTTTCTCGAAGTGTAACCCTTCTTGTTTACTTCTGTACAAGAAATCTTGTTTAATTACGAGGAAATGAATTATGTATGATTCGACCCTAAGATGATTTGCATAGTATTGAAAACAACACTCGGTCACCAGAGTGTTAGCTAAATTGCTCGAATAACGAATATATTTAGTTTGACATTGCTCTTGTGCTTCAAGTAGAACACAAGTTTTTTTTTCTTAGAAATTTATAAATTCTCCAGTTAATTAAATTTCGAAAACTTATTGATATTCAATTTTTATATTAATCTCCCCTTAGTTTTCTTTTAATAATTTATTTTTTTTTCATTAATGTGAAAACTTGCTTCTTTGTGATTTTTTTTAAAAAAGTAAATAAATACCTTCACCTACAGTCTTTATGTAGAAGATTCCGATTATGCCATATTTTACGATCCATGCCGTGTAAATTTTTATTTTACGACTCAATAGGTCTGTGTTTTTTTATGACCGCACAATTTTCTAAATAAAGAAAAAGTATTAAAATTGATGCCCTATTATTGAAGGACAACCATAAAAAGGTTCTCTCTCATAAAAAGAGTTAGTTAGACGTGCTAGAAGAAATTTCCGTGAATAGTGGAAAATATATTGCCTCTGTCACCGTATAATTTGTATTCACATGAATTGTTCGATGAATAAATGTATTTTTTATTATAAGTACACTTTATTTAGATACTGAATAGAAAAAATTTTGAATGTTTCCGATAAAAAGAAAATTTTCTCACCTTGTAAGCTTATTATTTTGTTTCACTTGATTGAGAGGATGAAACAAAGTTTTTTGTTTCTTCTAACTTTTATGCAAAGATTGACCGAAGCGAATGGCTTTCTTCCATCTCAAAGTCAATATATAGTCACTATGTTAGCAGACTGATATTTATTTTAGCGTAATCTTATTCTCATTCTGTTCGTTGAACATTTAGGTTGTTTTCAATGGAAAAATCATTTAATTAACGATTTTAAATTACAATTATAGAATTTATAGGAATTTTTAATTATGTAGGAGAAATTGTGTCTCAAATTCCGTTTAAA